GAGGACGCACACGGACGCACACACACGGGCAGCGGGGCAGCGGTACTCACGCTGGGTCCTGTTGTCCGCGCCGCAGTAGCACACGGTGTAGTTGCGGATGAATCCGTGCCGGAGGTGGATGGGAATGGGATCCCACTGCAGAGCCACGCCGCCAATCCAGGTGTCCGTGACGCGCAGCCGGGGGCCAGCAGAGGGCGCTGAGGGGCACACGCAGGAGAGGAGGGAGTGAAGGGGGAAGCCGAAGGAGGCGACCAGCAGCAGGACGTGCACAGAGGAAGAGAGCAGGGCTGGACAGCAGGGCTGGACTCACCTCCCTGTCGGCTGTAGGCTGGCAAGGACAGCGCTGCCCCTCCCCGCCCCTGGCGCAGAGCCCGCACCGACACATTGTAGCGCACCCGCGGCTCCACGGCCTCTGCAAGCAGGGACACACAGCGCTCACACATCTGGACGCCCCGTCGCCTCTGTCTCAGACACAGCCCGCAGCCAGGGGACAGCTGGGCACCGAGCGTCCAGTGTGTCTCTGTCTCTGTCTCCAGCACCGACTGTCCACTGTGTCTCCGTCTCCAGCACCAACAGTCCAGTGGGCCTCTGTCTCCACCTCAGATTCAGTTTCTCTAAACCCTGCTCGTGTGCAAGAGCTTCTGGGTTTTTTTAGTTAAGATGTAGGTATCAGAGGTGATAGAGAGCTGCATTTTTTGTCAAAGACCGGACCAAAAATTGCCGAATAAGGGCAAGGAGCAGCAGGCCCTGAGGAAGGCACGCAGGTGGACTCACCTGTGATGACAGTCTCGGTGACATTGCCGGCCAGCCTGAGCCAGTGTGGCACACAGGGGGTCACTTCAGACAGTGGGCACCACTCCACAACGAAGCCGGTCACCGATTGGCTGAGTGGAGGTGTCCATCTTACACTCAGGCTGCTGTCATCCAATGGGGTAACAGTCAGAGCCATAGGGGGCGGGAGCACTGAGAGATCAACATGTTGTGTTGGGTTATTGATTACAGCACAGCTGATGAAAACATCGTTACAAATCCAGGCACATTTTGGTTTTGTTTTTCCTAAAGATGTGTTTTTCTTCTTAAAAAGGGTCAGTCTACCCACTCTCCAGGAGTGTCTGTGACTCTGAGATTCTCTCTCACTCTCCTGCCACAAGCAGGGCAGCTAGGCTCCACACAGGGTGTATCAATCCCAGCCAGGAGCAGAGAGCCGTCCGCTGCTCACCCAGTGGGGCCGCAGGAGCAGAGACCCCAGACCACTGGACTCCCAGTGGGGCCGCAGGAGCAGAGACCCCAGACCACTGCTCACCCAGT